TWAAAACTTTTAAAAGAAGTRGTTCAGTGCTGTGGAGAGTTTTAAAACCAGATTGGAAAACCTCAAGAATACTATGCTCTTCAAGAAAACCAAGTAACTGATTGTACACTATTGTCTCAAGGACTTTGGAAATAAAAGAAARTTTGGAAATTGGCCTAAAATTASCAAAATTAGTGGAGTCTAGTCCAGGTTTTTTAATAAGAGGTTGCACCACTGCATGTTTAACGTGACCAATTGGGAACAAATAATATCTTTATGAAAAATGGCTGATAATAAACTGCCTGAAGCTGTAGTTTAAAAAAAAAGTGTTTCCATGCTAATTTGTTTATGTGTCAACACATATGTCCTTTGAGTTTACAAACCTGTCTGATTGATTCACCCGTCAGATATTACCAAATTTCCCTCTGGGATCAATAAAGTATTTTTGAATTGAATTTTGAATTGAATATCCTGGACTGAAAATTAGTGGAAAAAGTCTAAAGAAACRATTTTGACCTTTAGAAATCCTGGAKAACTACTGCTCAAGACCACTAAAGGGATTGAGGAAGTCTGGCTCCTTGAAATAAAATGATGGGAAATGGGGGATGATTCAAGACTCTTGAACAGTTCTATTTATTGAAACTTTTTTGTCTGTATCCAGGTCAACAAAAAAGATAATTCAGAGCCAAGGACACTAACCATCACGCCCTCTGAGAACACACATTTCAGGGTTATTTCGAGCTTAGAGGCCACGGAGGGAGAGCCAAGAGTCGAGCAGAGCACAGAAGACCCCATTTGCAATATTGTAAAACCAGAGCCCCGGACCGTCAAACCTCATCAGTGCAGCTGCAGCCCGCAGCCCCCTGAAGCTTCCTCACACRACACAAATATTTCCAAACCCAGGCCAGACCTTTCATACATAAAGTCAAGCAGCTTTTCCTCTGAGTTCTGTCCCAGCAACTCCGACTTCAATGCAAAAAATACACACAAGCCCAGATGGACGTCTTCACCGCCCAGCCGCAGGGACAGCGAATCCACTCTCTGTGGAGGAAGCAAAGAGGCCAGAGACCCCTCAGCTGTTAGTCCTGATGCAAGAACCACAGACTCACCCATCAAGAGGAAGGGTAATTAAACACTACTTTGGTAGTGCCCCATGTTTTTGTTTGTTGTTTGTCAGTCTATGAAAATGCAAAGGTTATTATTCAAGAAAATATGTTTAAGTAATTTCAAAAGAGGAAATAATTCAATTTCATTTTCTCATGAGATCTAAATGAGTTTCATTCCACCACTAAATTCATAAATTCATAAATAAAGCTGAAGATTTTCTCAGATGGCATGGTTAGAACTTCCTCTGGGTTTCTGTACATGATGCTAACTCTCCCAGTTGAAATGTAAGTGAATGTTAACAGGAAGGATGTGGTTTCTGTTTGTGCTTGAGTCTACACTCTGTCTGGGCTTCTGCATTCACATGCAGAATAAAAAAAAAAGAAAAGAAAAAAGGGAAGTGAAACAACGTGAAGTTGGMCATTTTTTTAAAATGACATTCTATTTTTCTTTCCTCCGTGTAATAAAGTTGTGAGAAAGAGGAGCCAACATCAAGGGCCTGAAGACATCTACTTGGAAGACCTGAGTGCTCTTGAGCCTGATGTTGCTGCTCGGTACTTCCCCAAAAGGTATAAAACCTGGGAGTTCTCTGTCAGATTAGATTGAAACTTTCATGGTTATTTATGCRTTAGCTGGTGAGAAACCATTAAAGATCACCTATGACCTGTCAACAAAGACAGAAATCTGTTGGCAACTTTTTGTGCCCTTCTATGATTGATGTGTCTGAATCTGCTGTTGTTCCAGTGAGTCTGAGCACGCTCCGAAACACTGGGTGGAGGCGGGAAGACGCTCCGGATCCCAGTCCCCCCAGTCAGTGGGCAGCGCAGCAATAGACAGTGGAACTGAGTGTCTGTCCGACTCTCCTGGTGACCTGCCTGACGTCACACTGTCGCTGTGTGGAGGCGTGGGCGAGAACTCGGAGATMTCCAAAGGTGATCAGTAATCTCTGTTATAATCACTTGTTTATTTTTGTTTTTTACACTCTTTTTTCTTATAATCCTTAATTCAAATTTATGTGTATCTTACCAGTAAAGCTAAGACTCTTTACCCGTTTTTTAAAGAAATATTTGGAACATGTAATTTATTCATTATATTTGTTACCTGTGTCCCAATTCAGGGGCTGCAGCCTACCTAGACTGCGACCCACAGAGGCCACAACCTTCGCAGTCCGGGTAGGCTGCATAAAACGTTTTATTCTTCAAATTGACCACGCACTACCCCCATTACCATGGGAATATAATTTATATCACATGCCTTCAGAMTTAAAATGTGTTGGGATGTATTCACACATCCTTTCACTGGAGGAATAACTTCACAGTTAAAAACATTACAAGCAAATATATAAAGAACATTAATAATTTAGGTTTAGCTCAAATATCAGTACTTGTAGTTGCATCTTATTTAATATCTCATTGCAGCATACATTTTATCAGGTAAGTTGCTAAACTYAAAAACAGTTTCTTCAGTTCGTGATGAATTTCCAAACTACACCGACTTGGTAAAATAAGAAAAAAAAAAGCTGCCGTCTGCACTTTTTTTGTTTTGTTTGCATGTGGGATTATCYTCAGCGGGGAAGGATACTCAGATGCAGCCTTCATTTTYRGGKTTTTGTCGGCCTCATGAGCCCACGAACTGGGACAGCAGCAACATGTGGACTTCRAAGGCCCCTGAATYGAGACACAGCAAATGTCTGAATGTTGGGGCTTAGAAAACTCAGCTGTTAACTGAAGTTAAGCCTTCCTGTTTCTTTTCTTTCAGAAAAATTCATGGAGCACATCCTCACCTACAATGAATTTGCGGAGAACCCAGCTATTATCGACAATCCCAACCTGGTGGTCAAAATTGCAAACCGGTCGGTTTTTTAACTTCTACCTTTCCTTACAACTCTTCAGTTTAACAACGTGTTCTTTTAGTAATTTCTGAAACATCTTGCAGATATTACAACTGGGCCCTGGCAGCACCGTTGATACTTAGCATGCAAGCTTTCCAGAAGAACTTGCCAAAGGTAATCTCTYATCTTATGTGTTAACAGTGAGCTGCTTACTGTATATCTGCACATAATTCTCACCTAAATGCATTATTTAATGTCAGGCCACAGAGGAGGCTTGGGTGAARGAGAAAATGCCAAAAAAGTCTGGACGCTGGTGGTTCTGGAGGAAGAGCAGTACCAAGCAGGTGTGATCATAACTTTGTTTATTTAATCTTRTGACTCACATCCATCTTTGAAGTGCTGTCGTGGAGTCCCATCCAGTACAAAACTTTGCATTGCAAATGAGGATTGTGTTGCTCAAAGGCATCAGCAACCACGTCGTATACGCTTTGCATTATTATGATGAGATATATTTTTTTAAGTGAAGTGTTTAATATGTATACATTGTCTTTTAGTTTTAGAATTTTAAGTGTCTTCCTCTCCTTAGTTGTCATCTGAATCTAAGTTGGAGAGACGGGAGTCTTTAAGCCCAGAGAGCTCTACCCTTCTGCAGGCTGCAGAACCACAGTGAGTCAGACACAAAGCTCTAATGTCCTCACAACACTTCAGCCACACACCAACACAACACACACTGTTGGGTAAACATGTCCCACAGAGGATGGATTAGCATGTTAGCAGCGAGGAAGGCTTGTGACTCATGAACACATTAAGAAACCAAATAAATAAATAAATACATGTGATGATTATTTGAGTTAGGAGATATTTGTTTTSGGAAATAAATGAGAACACATTCAGTTTTAAACAGAACGTCAAAAGCAATATAGGTCAATGATCAACCTGCTGCCCTCTAGTGTCTTTAAAAGACACTGCTTTGTTTTAATATTATCAGGTATAAAGTCTTCAAAGTCAATAAATTCCCTGTTGTTTTAATTTAGGTTTTATTGTTTCTCTCATGCAGGCAGAAAGCTGCAGAGTGGTCCAGCGATGATGAGACTAAAGAGCTGAACCGTGTAGCCTCCACTCTGACATCCAATGAGCGCGTGCAGACTGAAGGGCCGGCTTCATGTCACTCCTACAAGAAATCTCTGCGCCTGTCRTCTGAGCAGATAGTAAGATCCCCGCTGCGTGTTTGATTCAGCACAGGCAGAAACAAGYGTTTTATGCTGAGTCACCTTGTGTCTGATTGTTTATGCTGAAGTTCAAAGGAGGTCTTTATTTTGGTTATTATATAAGTACAAAACAACAGTGAGATTATTATATTCTTCATTCAACTCWAAATTTTATGTAAAAAGACGTCACATTTACAGTAATTTATAGAAACTCGTCTGTATTGACAAATGAAACAAAACATACATACGAACATAAATTTGAAGCTTAAGTTTTTGAACAAATCCATAAGATCGACATGTATGCAAATTTAACTCAAATGTTGACAGAATTACACGAGCCAATAGACTCGTTTAATGATTCGCGTCTCTTCCAGGCCAGCCTGAAGCTGAGAGACGGCCCGAATGAGGTCACCTTCAGTATAACCACTCAGTACCAGGGAACGTGTCGCTGCGAGGGCACCATCTACCTGTGGAACTGGGACGACAAGGTCATCATCTCTGACATCGACGGCACCATCACCAAGTAAGGAAATTATGCAAAACTCCACTTTTATTTAGAATTCTTCTAGAAATGTAAATATGTACGTGCAGTACCTTTTTGGTAAAAGACCTGCAGTTTGAAATGCAGAGAAAAAGCTTTACGGTACTCAAACATGACATTTTTTGAAAAGTGACTGTAAAGATTTAGTTTGACTCTGACATCTGCTCCACTATTTATTTCAGCAAATAATTCAGTTTCTGATTTTAAAAGAAAATACCTTCTTTCTCCTGACACTTTCTCTTCAGATCAGATGTTTTTGGTCAGATTCTTCCTCAGCTCGGTAAAGACTGGACTCATCGGGGAATTGCAAAGCTCTACAACTCCGTGCACGAGTAGGACTGAACATCTGCCTCAGTGATCACACCCCGTTAGATTACTGTGAAAAACATAACCAGGAAACCTCTGACTGTTGCAGAAACGGCTACAAGTTCCTGTACTGTTCTGCCCGAGCGATCGGCATGGCCGACATGACCCGAGGGTATTTGCATTGGGTGAACGAGAGCGGGACTCTTCTTCCTCAGGGACCCCTCATGCTTTCACCAAGCAGCCTCTTCTCTGCCTTCCACAGGTAGAAGACCCTCACATGCAGATTTATTCTAGGATTTCACTAATGGATGTTTATCTGGATGAGTTGCTACATCTGAGGTACCTCGAGAAAATTACAGCGGAGATAAAACGGAAGAAGATTTAAATGACAGTAATTTAGTTTTGTTTAGTTGTGTTTAATTCAACAACAGCTGAAGATCTGAATTTATAAAAGTTCAAAATGTAAAAATGTAGAGAGGCCAACTTAAACATCTGCAGAGTTACGGTACTTCTGTGCATTGGGTCATTTAAAAAAAGTATCTGCTGCAGAAAAGCTGTATTTACTCTTTTTGTAAATGTTTTAGAGAAATTATTGAGAAGAAGCCTGAGAAGTTTAAGATCCAGTGTTTGACAGACATCAAGAACTTGTTCTACCCAAACACCCATCCCTTCTACGCTGCCTTTGGAAACAGAGAGAACGTGAGTTTCATGTGTACCTTCCTGTAATAATCTCTGCAAATTAAATTTTTTTTAGAAACGCTTAGATTAGGAAACACAAACTGAGAATAACCTATCTTATTAATGCACATATTAGTCACATATAAACTCAAAGGTGCTATAAGCTAGTGGTTCCCAAACTTTTTGTCTTCTGACCCACAAAATATTCATGGCAAAAACTTGTGTCCCCAAATATTACTGGTCTGAGT